TGTATATGTATGTAACAAGGTAGGTGGAAAATCGTGATACAATTAGAAATGAAATAATTCCTTTCATAATAAAATAGTTTCTTCTCGTGAAAAGCTTCGTATATTTCCCCCCTTTTTCCCCCGTGTTTTCAGGGAACGAAGTTCACACGAGAGGCAATTATTTTATCACAATTAAATTTGCTGGTAGAATTATTCTATTTCCGTGTGTATCGCCATTTTCTGTCAACTCTTTGCACACAGTATGAAAATGAAAGACGTTAACGGATAATATCTCAAGAACTATAAAACTTACAGTCCATTATACTTTTGTAACAGGTATTGAACATTCAATTGTTTTTTAATCATATTTCCGTCCTTTCATATCACATGAATTATTACGGATCTTAATGGTGAAAAGATGTTCATAGCGAAGCGAGTGTGTAATAGCACAGAAATTTCTGTTTCTTGTAGTTGTTGAGATGTTGAGCCGCAACGGCTTTAATTTTACACCATGCATATGCAGAATGTCTTCGGGTGAAAGGCACTGGCTTGTTTTTAAATGAGAAACGCACCTTACGTCACAAAAGAGTCGACAAATATTTAAATAAATTCTAATAGAAAATTATCCATTACTATAATATAACCAATATTTATTAAGCAATCTTATAATTCTCGATTATAATTCTCTTTCTTTTTTTTACACAAAACTGAAACTCACAAGACAAGAGATGCACCATTTAACTGCTAACAATAAGTAGAAATATCTACCAATGATCCGGATTCGCGGTTCTTTCTTTCCATTTCTCTTCACGAAAACTTCTGGAAAGTGGAACGAGAGTTCCCACAACTTTGGATTCACGTGTCTTGGGATTACTTTCGAACTTTAACTTTTACTTACGACCGAAAAGCAGCTATACCGGCAAGATTCAAAATCAGAAGGATAAAGAAATTTAGTTAGTGGATTCGATCGTTCTATTCAGAAGATAACAACGTATCGAGATAAAAATGATTTTAAGCTTCCCCCACCCCTCCAAAAAAAAAACTTGCATTATAGTTTCAGCAGTAACGAATAATTTAATCTCGCGTTAGATGGTTTGCTAGTAATCTCTGTTACTCTCGGCGTGAAAACACTGATCTCTAACCTCAAGTCGAACTCGATGTTCAACTCCCCTATTTCGATAAATAGGTGGTTAATAGCACTTCCTGCTCAACGCCAAGCCAGTGTCCTCTACGTCAAAGACACTTCCGTATAAGTACACTAGTGTACAATATTGAAATGTAAATATATAGACACACACATATATATATAGATATAGATATATATATATATACATGTATGTAATATATTTATATATATGTACATATAATAGAGATCTAGAGACGAGATGGAACTTAGACGGAGGGACTCACGCGACAAGCTCGCCGAAGAACCTGATCTTCCTGTGGCAGGTGTCGAGGAGGGAAAGACGCGAGGAGACGGTGGAGCTGGTGGTGGCGCCGTGGTGGACCGGCGTCGGTGGCGCCGACAAGGTCGAGGACGTCGAGGCGGAAGAATCCTGGAGAACGACGCGCGCCGGCGAGCGCAGCATCGTCGTCGTCGTGATCGTCGTGGTCGAGGACGATCTCTTCGGCGCCCCGTCCTCGTGCCCGAGGATCTTTTCACGTACGCTGGGTATGCACCAAATCTTGTTCGGTTCTCATCGAACACCGGCTGCGACACCGATTATCGCCGGGTGTTCTCTCGTTTCTTGGTCAATGCCCAACAAACTATCCTCGAACCTTTTCACCCTTCTGTCAAAGCAACTACGTACTGTATTCTGTCTCTGT